AGTGTACGTTTGGCCCTTAGAATTATGATTAGCGTCAATAACCATCGTGAGGCGAGAGTCTTTAAATCACCATTTTCTGCTTAAATAAACTCTGAAAATTATTTCATACACCGTAACTTGTCAAATCCTTGAAGAACACAATTACTGCATATCGATTCAATTAATTATAATCTAAGTAACAGTCTTAGTTTCCCTTTAGTGACAATCTTATTCCCTTAAACATATTCTACCTAGCTAAACATAGTAACTCCCAAGAACACTAGTTTGATTACGAGTCCCTGTGGGATCGATATCTATTATTACTACGCGATAGACTGTGCACTTGCAGTTAGGTTGTATTAGACATAGAAAGTCGCGATCATTATTGTAGTTCATAAATTGTTTACCATAATCATCCCATAATGTAACCTCAATGACATTACCAGGTTCATCACGCAGGGTGATATTGGCGCATGATTTCTTACCACCACCACCCATTTGAGTTTTCACAACATCTTGTAAAATTCCGATCACATCTGAAGCATCAACGAAAAATAATGAACACATGTTGGCTACAAAGATTTTATAGTATGCAAAAAGGAAAAATACCATATAACATATCAATTTGGAAAAGTCCATTGAGAAAGTCTCCAATAGCCTTGAATTTGAACTGATGCAGAGGTATTTCCGGCATGACAATGTTTGAAATTGTTGTTCCTCCATTAAAGATAAGTTTAAGGCTATTGGAACAAACTTTGAATGAGCCATCATTAACCACCGGTTCTCCATTATAAACGGTGTAAGTGTCATGTTCCTTAAGTTGCTCAACCCACTTCTTGAAATCTCGGTTCCTCGTCACAACATGAATTTGATCACCCTGTTATATCATTTATTAGATAGCAACAACATACTGATATAAGTGCATCAAAAGTCGCCAAGTATTACCTTTCCATCTTGTATGACCAACTCGACATGTTGTTAGCCACTTTTCTCCTTAACAACCCAAAGATCAAAACGCGTACGTGCATTTTCCAAACTTGATTACCTTTCACCAAATCCTTGATAAAGATTGGAGGCCATGACATGTTTGAGACAAAAACTGAACAATGTATCACAATGACAAAGCAGGTCATACATCAAATAACAGCTCAAAATAAAAGCTCACAAAAATAACGGCTCAAAAACATAGCTCACAAAAATATGATTTTGTCTCAAACATGTCAAGGCCCACAAAAATATGATTTTTAAAACTATTTCTATGACAGTAGACAGAACTTATGATGATAAACACATGAAAAAAGATGCAATGTGATGTGGGACGGTTTATGCATCATGTGAAAAAATAAGTAAACTTGTCAACAATAGTTGTTATAGTTAGCCATGAAAAATTGCATTTCTATGTCAAATTTCATAACTGTTAAAAAACAGAACACAAACATAGTGAAATATTGTTGATATTAGAACATGAATAAGTCAAAAAACAGAACACAAAAACTCATATCTTGATGATGTTTGAAAATAAACACATCCTTTTTAAACACTAACCAATAAACAGAACACATTGAACTAACCTTGCAAGGGGATGGAAGAATGATTTCTTGAGAATGTATGTTGAGAATGAGCTAAATTATAAAAAATATAAAAGAAACTATAAGTTTATAAGTACTGCACAATGTAAAAGAAACTATAGGTTTATAAACATGGAATAAACTTTATACATAAAGAAAATATAAAAAATCACATTAAATATTGCACAATGTAACTAAATGACAACCACTCTTAAAGTTTATAAGTTTAGAAAGCAAATGGTTTGAAGTATCGAAAACAGATTACATATCATTTCTTCAAAACAGTTTTTCACGGAAGATTTTAGAAGTTTGCAGAAAATATAACACAAAACAAAGACGAAAACAAAGGACTTCCAAGTTTGCCGAGAAAACTCCATTAAATACAGAACAAATACTTAATATCTGAAAAATGATGAAAACAATAGTGAACTAATGATGAAAACATAAGAGTTAATCTAACCTTGGAAGTGAATGAAATCTAAAAAAAAAAAAGAGTTCTTCAGATAGAAGAATACCAGGTTGAAAAAATTGTGTTCTTTAGAGTGATGAATAGCAGCTCATATGTAATATATTTGAAGCATGTGCCGATGCAATAGGTATTTGGGGGGAGCATGGGTATTCATTGTGCCAATGTAAAGCTGCCACATGGGCTTCCAAGAGAAAATGATGCTTAGAAAAAGTGTCATTTGTTAATTACTTAATAAGCCTTTTTGGAGTGTAAATTTTTTTTGATTAAAGGGCAATTTTGGAAAATCATTCAATAGTATAGTATTAGATAGATAGTAGATGGAAATCATGGGGTGGTGGCAAATCAATGGTTAAAAACAAGCCTCTAATACACTCACATGAATACACTGCAACAGTAACTTCCATAAGTTCATGTGACTTTATACTAGACTATAATTTGGAATATTCAATTTTTTATGCTTTGGAATTTGACTAATGTCAAATAAAATAAAATAATAATAGTAATAATAATACATGGATCTGACTCGATAAAATTAAAACCACATGAATCTGAATTAAATCATTATTAGAAAAATATTTGTGAAGCATTAAGAGGAAGCATGAGAAATCATTTATCTCCGTGTATAATAAAGAAAACAAATATTTCACTCGTGAAAATAATGAACAATTTAAATGTTTATAATATTGAGAGAGAAAAAATTTAAAGAAACAATTTTTCAAGTCATGAATTATAACAAGAAATTCATAACACACATACATGAACATAATAATAATAATAATAATAATAATAATAATAATAATAATAATAATAATAATAATAATAATAATAATAATAATAATAATAATAATAATAATAATAATAATAATAATTCATAACACATGTGCATATGCACGTTAAACATATTTAATAGTTACAAAAGTGTCTAATCATACTCTGATACCAAATGATAAATTTATATTTTTCATAGACACATGATATAACTAATTAATTAACAATGATATTGTGTACTTTGTAGATTTGTTGTTTCTATTGATTCAAGAAAGAAAATAATTTTGATGAGAAGCGTACTCCCCTCTTTCTAATGGTTGACTATTAGGGTTAATCTGACTTGATGTGATAGTTAAGAATTCATAACCACCAGATAGGGGTAGAGACCTCTCGATAGACTAACTAGAAAGAACAACTTAACCCATCACAGGTTATCAACAATAAGATTCAATACAATATTCATTAATTAAAATAAAGTGCAATAAATAGAATAACTAATTGATATAATATTAATTTTAATTAATTAATTAATTAAAGTTATCCATAATAAAATCTAACATCAGTTACTTGTAATGTAATTATGAAAGCTCTATCGGGTCTTAATGATGACTTTGAATTTAGATTGGGGTTGGAAACTCCTTTATGGTTTTCCAAATGGTATGTTATCAACAATAAGATTCAATACAATATTCATTAATTAAAATAAAGTGCAATAATTAGAATAACTAATTGATATAATATTAATTTTAATTAATTAATTAATTAAAGTTATCCATAATAAAATCTAACATCAGTTACTTGTAATGTAATTATGAAAGCTCTATCGGGTCTTAATGATGACTTTGAATTTAGATTGGGGTTGGAAACTCCTTTATGGTTTTCCAAATGGTATGTTATAGGAAAATTAGTGGATCAAGATCTCTTTATGGATATTCATGACCTGGACATTCGAGTGAATTATATTTACTTCAATTGAATTGAAACGTCAATTCATTATATACTAATATTCCTCCTGCTGTTGTGACCGCTTGAAACTGTTTCCCATTTATTTGACTTCTCTAGTGCTTGATCGATTAATTTGTAAAGGAAAATTAAATGGTATCTATATTGCTCATGATGGTTATTACTGCCTCAACAAACTTGATTTTGTTCAGAATACAACAAATATCATCTCTTGGAATTTGTTGTCGCATATTCCTCCTCTTGAGAAGGTGATATCCTTCCTTTGGACAACTTTACATGAGTCTCTTACTATGAGATCAATATTGTGTCATCGTGATATGCTCCATATAAATCTTTGTCCTAGGTGCAACTAGGAAGCTAAGACGACTCTACACTACTTGATAGTGAGAATTTTCTACTCATTTTTGGAAATCTATTAACTTCTTGAACCCCTTATACTTCCAAGAGGATAATTTATATGATTCGCTAAGACACAGTATCAATCATAACTCTATTTTTTGGTTGCTTATCGGTGGTTGTGGCGCACTAGAAACAAATCGTGTCTTGCAAATAAAGTGGTATTTTCCTATACTTTGAAACTCCTCACAATTAATTATGCAAGTATGTTAACTAAATGTCTCCTCAAGCATAAACTACCTCCTCCCATGAGAATGATCACGTGGAATGCACTCAAAGGCAGTGATATGATTTTGAATATTGATGGCAGTAGCCTCGGTAATCTTAACGTCTCGAGGATTTGGCATCAAAGACCTTCATATTGAGTTGACGACGCTCTATCATGGTTTGTGTATGACTTGAGAATTTGGTATCAAAGACTTGATGTGTTATTCTGACTTCAACTCTACTATCAAATTAATCTCAACGTCTATTAATGTTTGGCATTACTATGTCATGATTCTTCACAACACTAAAGAACTTCTCTCCATGGGTTGACAAGTTTAACTATTTCACACTCTTAGGGAGAGTAGTATATGTGTTGATTATCTAGCAAAATACGAGATTGATAATCAACTATTTCATACTCTTAGTGGAACTTTATTTTTAAGATAATTTTCCTTATTGATTTTCTTTTTGTTCCTTTTTCCACTTATATAAAAAAAAGAATTCCATTAAATTAACAAATACTCTCTTTGTTTTAAATTGAATGTCATTTTAATAAATAAAATTTATTTCGTAATAAATATTATTCTCAATTTTTAATGTCAAATTACTTATTATTTTTCAATTGTGTTATTTAATCTATAATTATAAGAATGGGCAGGCGAGGACGACCACCGAAGGTGGTGTCAACGCCGTCATCATCCATCAGCAACAAAGATGATGATACACCATCAGAGAAAAATTCGAATCCAACCATAGAACCCAACCACCATGCAATAGAGAAACCAACAGAGGAGAGTGTGGCAATACAGGAAATCACCGAATCTGAAAACCTAATTTCTCCCAAAGGGGCAACAGAACCTAGACGACTATGGGTCGACGTTATAAGCGGTAATCGGAATCCTGAAAACGGCTTAGCATTGGAATTCATCGCACCAAAGATTGTCAATGGTATTGCAGAAGTAGTAATTGAAGAAGCAGATACGGTAGAAGAGGTTAAATTCTAGGAGACTGCCTTGATCATGTATGTTATGGGAGGAGACCTAAGTATGAACATGGTCAAACAATTTATAATAAAATAGTGGAATTTTGTCAAATTGCCTGACATGTACTACAATAATGAAGGGTATTTTATGCTAAGGTTTCATTCACACAAGGAAAGGGATGATGTGCTCATGAAAGGTCCGTACACCATACGGAACATGCCGATGTTGTTAGCTGAATGGAAACCAAACTTCAACTTGAAGAATGATATAATGTGTACTATCCCTATTTGGATTAAACTGCCTCAATTGCCACTGCACCTATGGGGAGCAAAAAATCTGGCGAAAATAACGAGTGTGTTGGGAACCCCATTGATGGCTGATGAATGCACCACAAACAGATACCGAATCTCATATGCTAGAGTCCTAGTAGAAATCAATATCACACAAGCACTCATTACTGAGATAGCTATAACAGATGAAAAAGGGGAGAAGATACAACAACGGGCAGAATATGAATGACGGCCTCCATATTACACTAAATGTCAGCATATCGGACACAAATGTGAGGAGAAGCGGCCAAAAAATCCATTAAAGCAGTGGATTCCCAAATAGAAGGAGAACCAAGATGAGAGGGTAGTTACCAATGAAGATGAAACCTTGAAGACACCTACACAAAAGACAGCAGTCAAGGAACATCCTAAAGCTGGGGCAATCGTGCAAATGACAACCAGTCAACACACAGGTGAAGATGAAGGTATGCCATGGACAGAGGTTAGGAAAAAAGACATTATCAAAGCCAAAGGTACTAATACTGCTAGAAGTCCAAAGACTAAAAATCCAATGAAGAACTACAGGAACTTGTATGCAGCACTCAGGGATGGTTCAACCTCAGTGTTCCTAGAAGATGTCCTATGATCGTCTCTTGGAACATTAAAGGGATGAATAAAGCGGGCAAAGTTAGGGAGATTAGCTCTCGTCTCCGAAAACTAACCCCTGCAATTTCTGTTTTAATCGAGACAAGAGTGAAGGCTAAGAATGCAATGCGTATTCGACAGAAACTGAAGTTAAAAGGTAACTATACAGATAACTATTCAAACCATGATAATGGCAGAATTTGGATCCATTGAGATGATACTAAAAGACATGTGGAATTGATGGAAAGCACAGATCATTGATACATTGTCAGGTAAAGGATGTACATGGTAACTTCCTGTGTTGGATGACACCCATTTACGCACAAAACTTATTGGATTACAGGAAGGAACTGTGGCGTGACATACAGAAGATTCCTGCACAACAAACTGGACCGTGGATCCTAATTGGTGATTATAATAATGTTCTGAAAACTGAAGACAAAATTAGCGGTAACGATCTTACAGAACATGAATATATAGACTTGATTGAAATGATGAGTAAAACAGGACTTTATGCAAAAGAAAGCGTCGGAGATTATTTCGCGTGGTCGAATAAACAGTGAGACAATGCGATTTACTCAAGAATTGATCATGTTCTTTGCAATGTAGAGTGGATGCAACATAATGGAGATATAAATTTAACAAATATGAACCCCAACATATCTGATCATGCCATGCTTGTGTTAGACGATAATACTGAAGTCCAACAACCTAGTAAGGGATTCAAATTCATAAACTACTGCGCTGACTTGGATAAATTCCAAGAAGTTGTAAGCAACAATTGGAATGAGCCTTTAGAAGGAAGACGAATGTTTGTTGTGTGGAAGAAACTGCAAAGGCTACAACCCCACATCAGGAAATTGAGTAAACCATTGTCAGACATTCACAGGAAAATAACACAAGCTAGAGAAGACCTGAACACGGCGCAAGCGGATTTAATGACGGATCAACTGAATAGAGACAAGATTAATATAGTTAAAGGATGTTCTAAAAATCTTCTTAAATTGCAGGAACTGGATGATAGCATGGTGAGACAACGAGCCAAAATTGACTGGCTATGATTAAGTGACGGGAACAACAAATATTTCCATGTCGCCATAAAGATGCGACAACAGCTCAAAAGCATGACGAAAATTCAAAGAGGGGATGGTACCTTTGTTACAGACCAGCAAGGGATGGAAAATGAAGTCATAACATTTTATAGCAATCTGATGGGTACGAAATTGAATGAACTTGACAGCATCGATACAGAGGCAATGAGAACAGACAGGTAACTGAATAATGCGCAGAGAGATATGTTGTCTAGTTCTGTAAACGAAGATGAAATCATTATAGCCCTCAAGGGCGTTTGTAATGATAAGGCACCAGGGATTGATGGATTTGGAGCCTATTTCTTTAAGAAAGCCTGACAGATCATTAAAGTGGATGTCATAGCAGCTGTGCAGGATTTCTTCAAGAATAACCGTATGTACAGAGCTGTTAATTGCTTTATTGTCACTCTAATTCGTAAGCATCAGGGAGCGAACAAGATACAAGATTATCGGCCTATTTCCTGTTGTAGTACCCTATACAAAATCATATCCAAGATTTTGGCCAATCGACTCAGCAAAGTACTCAGGACGATAATATGTGAGAATCAAGCAATGTTTGTCAAAGGGCAGAAAATTCATAACCATATTCTCATCACATATGAATTGATTAAAGGATACGAAAGAAAGAATATCTCTCCATGATGTTTAATGTAGATGGACGTTCAAAAAGTGTATGATACGGTTGATTGGAATGCGCTTGAAAAGATTCTGAAGGAGGTGGGATGCCCACAACAGTTCACTAATTGGATAATGACGATGGTATCAACTGTTTCTTATCGATTTAACGTAAACGGGCATCAAACTAAAATCATGGCAGCGAAACGGGGGCTTAGACAAGGTGATCCTATATCACCTATGTTATTTGTCATTGTAATGGAATGCTTGAACAGATACTTATACAAAATGCAGGAAGATTGTGATTTCAATTATCACCCTAAATGCAAAAAATTAAAAAGCACAAACCTTTGCTTTGCGGACGACCTGCTTATGTTTTCCAGGGGAGATAAGGTTTCGGTTGAAATGATGATGAAGGCATATGGAAATTTTTCAAAGGCTACAGGTCTAGCAGTGAATCCGCAGAAATGTTGAATTTATTGTGCTGGCATGGGTGAGTTGACAAAGCAGGATGTAATTGAAGCCTCGGGGTTCCAAGAAGGTCGACTTCCTTTTAAGTATCTAGGGGTCTCGGTTACAGGTAAAAAAACTCTCTGTGCGCCATTATTCACCGTTAATAGACAAATTAGTGGGCAAGATAAAACATTGGACAACTCGGTTGTTAACCTACGCAGGGAGACTTCAACTCATAAACTGTGTTATGTTTGCACTGACAAATTACTGGCTAACATGTTTCCCATTCCCCAAAACGGTTATTTAGAAGATTGAATCGATCTGCCGCATATTCCTCTGGACAGGAGGTTTCGAAGGGAGTCGTAAAGCACCAGTGGCATGGAAACAGGTTTGTAAACCACGTAGCCATGGTGGTTTGAATGTCATTGACATTGAAGATTGGAATAAAACAACTTTGATGAAATTGTTATGGAATTTGAATGAGAAAGAAGATTCGCTTTGGGTTAAATGGATACAAACTTATTACCTTAAAACCAACGAACTGATGGAGGTCCAGTGTAAAAAGAGTGATTCCTGGATTATAAAAAGTGTGCTCAATCTAATGGAAGAGTTTCGAAACTTGGGAAATCTGGAAGATATCATGGTAGGAGGAAAAATTAAAATGAGCAAAATGTATATGAAACTACGCGAGCGTGGGCAGCTGGTAGAATGGAAAATGTTGGTCTATGGGAATAACGCGAGACCGAGAGCCAATTTCATTTTGTGGTTTGCTTGCCATGGGCGATTAGCAACAAAGGACGGACTGCTTAAGTACGGTATGTTGGATAATAGTACTTGTTGCTTCTGTACAAGAGAAGAAACATTAAACCATTTATTTTTTGAGTGTGAAAGTCTAAAAAACATATGGGAAGAGATTCTAAGATGGACCCAAATTAACCATAACCCCGGAGGCTGGCATAGTGAGATGAAGTAGCTCATTCAGCAAACCAAAGGTAAAGGAGTCCGCGCTGCAGTCATAAAAATGGCAATTTCTGAGACAATCTATGAGATCTGGAATGCTAGGAACAACAACATTTTTGAGAAGAAGACTGAGATCAATACAATAGGACAAAAAAATTTAGATACACTGTTGTATAGAGGATGAAATACTAAGAAACTCAGAAAATATATAGTTACCTTAATGATAGAGGGGGATAAGTATCTTGATAGTAGGTTGCTTTTGCCTTTTTTAGTTAGTTGATGCTGTGATGTGTAGCTGGATTCGAAAGGATCGCTTGTATTTAATGATTTTTTGTTTAATAAAGTATTTTATTTTTTTAAAAATTGTGTTATTTAATTATTATTATTATTATATTATTATTTACAAAATTTTAGTAAAGTTAATTTAATAAAAATATTATGTTTTTTTGAAAAATTTCCTGAATTTTTTAGTCTGCGTAAAAAAACTTAAAATTTTATTCATTTCAAAATAAAAAGAAATAATTGACAAAATAGAAATGTAGGATTCAAATGTAACTTATATGATAATTAAACTTGTCAAATTGCATGAAAAAGTTACTCGTACTTTTATTCTTTGTTTTTTTTTTTATCAAGTAGATAGCATTTGATAGTAACTTATTACAATTTTGTAAAGGTAATATGCTATGGGCAATTTTTATGAAACTCCCAAGTTTGAAGGCACACGATTTCTCATTCTTCAAGTAACAAACACGTATGACATATATCCACAGGTAGATTATTAATTGATTGATAATAAGATAATGCTTGCAAGTTGAAGAAACATAGGTTTGGTATCTGCATCTCATTGGTTTAGACGATTGGCGGTGACTTGCACAAACAAAACTGAAAGTGAACTCAAGGAAAAGAAAGCCACTCGTATGATCTTGGCGCGGTTCTTTCCTTCTTCTTTATTATATGATCTTGGCGCGGTTCTTTCCTTCTTCTTTAT